TCAGCCTGAGTTATGCAGTGAGTCCCTGTCTCAAAAAAACAACAAAAACATCTGGGAGTCTGTTCTTTGTTGGTAGAGAACAAGTAGGGGGGGGGCGATACACAGGTGGGTGCTTTGCAGCCAAGTCTAAATTGTGAACTACTCAGAAAGTACCTACTTGGTAAGGGACTGGAAAGATGGCTCAGTGGTTAAGAACACTGGCTGCTCTTGCAGAGGACCTGGGTTCAATTCCCAGTGCCCACATGGTAGCTGACAACCATCTGTAACTACAGTTCCAGGGGGATCCAATGCCCTCTTCTTACTTCTTCCAGGTATTACATGATATGGGTGCACTTACATACATGAAGGCAATACACTCATACACATAAAATAAAAATAATAAATAATTTTTAAGTGTTTTGCAATGTTGACACACAGAGTTAACTGAACCATGGTTTATAAGCCTTGGCAAGCCTCTTGATCTCTGAGACTCTCTGCTGCTGGGCTCTGAACTAAGGACAGAGGTGCTCTCTTAGCTGGTTGGTCTAGGAAGTCAACACCCCATGTCCACACCTGGCACTTAGTATATGTGTTCTTATTCACACACTCCCCTACTGCAGATCCTGCCTGGAACATCAAGGAGAGATTGACCCTGTCCTCCTTCCCAGGCAGACTCAGCAGCCACTAGGTGCCCTCCACCAGCCTCAGGGCAGACTCCCCCAAGGTCAGCTATTCTTGCTGGTGGGGTGGCTGAGCAGCATCTACTCTACCTGGGGAACAGTAGACACCTCCTTGCAGCAGAGAACTGGATTCCATGACTTGGGGGGACTCTGTTCCCACAATCCCATATAAGGCCACTTCCTTGCTTCCAGCTCCCAGGTGGGTGGTTTTCTGCTATCCAAAGCACAGTTTCCACTCACTGGCTCCAAGTAAGGGTTTCTGGGGTCAGAGGGGTTGATTGTTCCTCCTTCCTCAGGCCATCCTCATCCCTGACCCTCCCCAGCCCCCCACGCCACCCACTGGAAACTTTTTGAAAGGCAGCAAGCTATTCCCAGGGATCAGCAGTCCTGCACAACGTTGCCCCCACCCATTGATGATCGTGTTCAAGTGTCCTGTCCCACTTGGGGCAGGACAGTGGGGGACTGAGAAGGAAGCAGGGCAGGTAGGACAGTGTCCCCTCCAGATCAGTCCTGCCTACAAGAACTTGGGGCCATCCACCAAATACACACACCAAAGGTCAATTGGAAACTGCCCTGTGCTGGGAAGGGTGGGGCAGGAGGGAATCTGTGGCTCTTGTCCAGACCCTGCTCCCCAAATTGTGACCAAATACCCATAACATAAAAACTAATGATATTGCCCTTTTTTTTTTCTTCTGTTTTTGGTCTTTTTGAGACAGGGTCTCTCTGTAGCCCCAGCTGTCCTGGAACTCACTATGTAGCCCAGGCTGGCCTTGAACTCACAAAGATCTGCCTGCCTCTGTCTCCTGAGTGCTGGGATTAAAGGCGTGCACCACCACATCTGGCTAAATAGCGCCCATTTTTAAGTGCCATTTGCCAGTATCACACACATTCACCATGTTCCATGATCACCTTCCCAAACCAGAACTGCTCACATTAAACACCGAGGTCCCATCTTCCTCCCCTCCTGATGACCTCTGTCCTCCTTTCTGCAGGTGGACTTGCCAACACTAGGTCCTTCCAGTAACTGGAATCAGGAAGAATCTGTCCTTTTGTGCCTGGCTTATCTTCCTTAGCATAACATTGTCAAGATTCATCTGTGTTGTGGCATGTGTCACACTGAGTAATACTCTACTCTGTGGATAGGTCACCTACCTGTTCTTTATCTATTGACTGGTCAGTGGACACTTAGTTGACCTCACCCTCTTGGCTACCGTAAACAGTGCTACTGTGAACATAGGTGTGCAAACCCTTAAGTCCCTACTTTTAAAATTCCTTGGAACGCGGAAGCAGAATTTCTGGGTTACAAAGTAATTCCGTTGAAGTTTTTGAGGGCCTGACAAACTGTTTATCACAGTATTTCACTCCCACCAATGAGTTCTTCAGAGACTGGGAACAGAGCACTGCCCTGTAACTTCCCCAAGGCCCCTCCTCAGTCAGCCTGGGAAGAGGGGACTGGGTTTGTGAATTTCAGCATAACCATGCCAGACTCTTGGGGTTTGCAGGGAGCCCTCCATCTACAAAACAGCATGATTTTTCAGTGGAAAGGGCCTTACCAACTCCAGACTATGCCCCCTCCCTCAGATTTACTGAATTCTCAAGTGTGGAGCTCTGGGAGGTGCAGGCAGGGCAAAAATGAGGCTTCCGTTCCTTCCCATGCTGCTGTGGTGGCAGTGGGACCCAACACCCCTCCCCCATCCTGAAGTGCTTCTGCACTGCAAAGCCCGCCATCCTGGCGCAGCCTTCGCCCCTCCCCCTTGAAGCTACTCAAATCTGATGGTGTGAGCCAGGAGCCCAGCGAGTTTCCCACACTGTGGCCCCATTCACAGTGTTAAACGGCCCACAAAGGCCAGGCGTGTGCCTCTGAGGCCGCCCGGGCTGCCATCTGGCCTCCACTCAGGGAGGCAACCAGTCTTTCATCCCATCATTCATTTCATATTTCCCACCACTGAAAATTGGATCAAAGCTGCTCTGGTCCAGAGGGGTGTCTAGGAGAAGCAGGAAGGGGCAGCCCTCCCACGGCCCACCCACCATTCTTACCTAGGGCAGGCTGCTGTCCTAACCCGTGGCTGGTGGGCGGGCAGTTGGGGTGGGGTGGAGGCTGGACCACATCTCCTGGCACGTGTCTCATTTGGGTGAGGAGCTGGCTCAGGGGAGGGGACCAGAGGGACAGAACACAAGCCTCAGCCAACTGTCCCCACCAAAGCCTTGGGGGATGGACATGGTCTAGCCTGTATCCCCTCACATCTAGGTGCAGTGCTGGCCCTTGCCAGAAGCCAGGAATGGGTCATGGCACATATGGGCTCCAGGCTCCCCCTGCTCTGTTTACACACTCCCTCAGACCCCTGCTGAGCACCTACTTGCTCCTGAGCCCTGAGCTGGCAGAGCACAACGGATAGGCACACAGATGACCAAGTCACCCTGCCCTCTCTACCCCTAGGGAGCCCAGATTCATGACATGGCTAAATTCGACTATCACATAGCATGAACCCCTTTTTGGCTGCAAACAAGACTCTCCACTGAGTTCCACCAGGTTCCCTCTTGCAGTCTGAGGGGGCTGCCTGCTCAGCACACAGTGCTAACCACTGTCAGTCTTCAGGACTGCAGAAGCTGAGGCCTAGGCTGGTGGCCCTGAGCCTCCCTCCTGGGCTTGCAGGTATCCTCTGGTCTTCCATATCAAACAATCACTAAGAGCTGTGGGTAGGCCCCATCAAACTTGAAGAGGAGCCCCAGCTCAGGGTGACATGTGTGGTGGAGTCTGGGGGAGGAGAGACTTTATGTACAAATAGTGTGTCATGGAAGGGCTCCTACGCTGGCTTGAGGTCAAGCCTTCCCTACTGCCCCAGATGGAGCCCTCCAATGACTCCTGGTACTCAGAAATGTCTGAAGCTAGGCCCACCAAACAGGCTACTCACAGCCAGGGGTCACTGCCAAGGTAGGGAGGACATTTCCCCATTGGGCTCTTGTAAAAAGGACTTAGATTCCTAGGTCCAGTCAGACGTGACTGCCATCTTCTGAGAACCCCAGCTCCTGGATTTCAACTCTGGCTACAGAGTCCTGATGCCTTCTACTTGTCCCTAGGAGAAAGCTCAGGCTTCATTCCCAAACACCCCCCTCAGTCCCTCCAAGACAAGTAGAACGGTCCTGTCTGCAGAGAGTAGAGGAATGATGATTATTGCAGGTGGAGGGGGACTCCCATGTGGCCATCCCCCAGAGGCCCAGAGTGGAACCAGCCCTCAGTTCAGCTGTCCAGACACCAGGGTTATCAGTTCATCCAAATGGGGCCCATTTAAGCAGACACAACATTCATGAGGGCTCTGATCCTCAGGTCGCCACCTGGTACCCCCATACCACCCACGGTTAAAATGCTGAAGAAGGTTGATGCCCCGCCCCCACCTGGCTGTGCAGAGGCACTAAGGGCAGCCAAGACTTTCTTGCTTGAGTAGTGTGCACAAACACCACATAGGAGTCATGATCCTCCTGTGCGGAGGATGCTATGGTGCCACTCAGGTCCACATGGGGTGAAAAGAAGGCCCCAAGGGCATCTGCTGGCCCCAGAGCAACCCAGAAATCTGTGAGTGCAGGAATTTCTGGGGGCTTCCTGTGTATCCGGCTCCATGCTGGGCACTTCACAAAAAACCTGGGCTTTCCAAGGTTGCCCAGAGCAATTTCAGGTAGCCTAGAAGGAGTCTCAGCAGATTCAGCACTTAACATCTAGCCCTTTCCAGGTCCAGAGAAATCACTCCTCCAAAGTGACAGGGAACTGGTAACAAGAGCTGGTGATGTTGTCCTAAGAGCCTGGGTTCCTTTCCCACCCTCTACCTGTAGACAAGGCATAAGAAACACCTGTTTGAGAGAGTGTAGTCCACTTTAAAACACGCCCCCCCCGGGGGGGGTGGCCCACACCCCTGGAAGCCGCTGCCTGTTCATTCTAAAGCTCTTTCTGCGCCTGTGGCCTCTGCCAGCCAGCAGTGGGGAGTCGCTAGGAAGGGGGAAGAGAGAGGAGGGGGCCTGCTCCTTCCTGCCCCCCTCCCCACAGCCTGGGAAAAGGCAGCATATTGAGGCGCGGGGCTCTCAGCATCAGGCCCCGGGATGCTAATGAGGGCGAGCGCGTTCCCACAGCCCGGACATTGTGCCGCGCGGCCCACCTGCTCCTCGGGGAGCGACCATTGTGCCCGCGCCAATTCACAGGCAATTTAGCGTGCGCTAATGGGCCGGCGCCTTTGTGCGGCCGGCGCCGTCATTGGCCGCCGAGTGTGGGAACGGCCGCTGCACCCGGGCCCCAGGCGCCGGGCCGCTGCTTGCGCCTATATAGGGCCGGTGCGCGGGACCCCGGACCGCGCCAGCCCGGGGACGCCTGGCCTCGCCCGTTCCGCTCCGCTCGCCCCTCGCCTCCTGCGCGCAGGCATGGCTCCAAGCACCGTGGCGGTGGAGATGCTCAGTCCCAAGGAGAAAAACCGAGTAAGTGCCACCCGCTTGGCGCGCGCCAGCCACCCGGATCCCCCGGCTCCCGGGCCTGGGCCGCGCACCTGATGCCCCTCCTCCCACAGCTGCGCAAGCCGGTAGTGGAGAAGATGCGCCGGGACCGCATCAACAGCAGCATCGAGCAGCTGAAGCTGCTGCTGGAGCAGGAGTTCGCCAGGCACCAGCCCAACTCCAAGCTGGAGAAGGCCGACATCCTGGAAATGGCGGTCAGCTACCTGAAGCACAGCAAAGGTGAGCCTCGCGCGCACCCCTGTGGGTTTCCCGCGGGTGTGGCTCCGGACTCCTCCGCCCCGCTCCCTCCCCGCGCGCCCCCCTCACGCAGCCCGGTCTCCCCGCAGCCTTCGCCGCGGCCACCAGCCCCAAGAGCCTGCACCAGGACTACAGCGAGGGCTACTCGTGGTGCCTGCAGGAGGCTGTGCAGTTCCTGACCCTGCACGCCGCCAGCGACACGCAGATGAAGCTGCTGTACCACTTTCAGCGGCCGCCAGCGCCCGCCGCACCTGCTAAGGAGACCCCCGCACCGGGTGCCGCGCCCCTACCCGCGCGCTCCTCCACCAAGACGGCCGCCACCGCTGCCGCCACTCGCCAACCCGCCTGTGGCCTCTGGCGGCCCTGGTGACCACGCGACCAGGGAGCACCTGGAGCGGACCAGAGGGCCAGCCCGTTCCTCTTGTGTGTAGGGAAGACCTTCCCAGCCTCAGTCCAGCCCCAGGTTGGATGCACCCTTCTCCGGAAGGCTCCCTCCCCAGGCTGGCGGGCCAGCAGGAGGAGGGTCATTCTTAGAGAATGTGTGTGCAGAGTTGTCATTTGGGGATAATCAGGGCCCACTTTCTGCCACGTGTCTGACCCCGTCGGGTTGTTTTGTGTTTGCATTTCAGCAAGTGACTTCTGGGAAGTCCCCGGCCACCCGGGGTTCTATGATATTTGTAGAGTCAGGGGCTGGCTTGCCTGTGCCCCGGCCTGTAGAGGACTTTCTTCAGGGCCCGTTGCTGCTGGGCAAGCACCCCGCAGGCGGGCTGTGCCGTGGGCACACTTGCCTTTTGTGAAGGCGGAACTTTGTGTGTATCCTCATAGGAAAATTCTCAGCCTGCGTGGACATGAGGACCATGGGTCTCTGCCCAAAGGTCCACGTGGACTTGATTGTCTGATGGACGCTCATAGTGGGCTATCTGGGGTGGGTGGGGTCTCCACTATGATCCTTAAAGGATTCTTCTGTGTGGGTGGGTGCATGTGGGCACGATTTTTGTACTTAGAATTTAAGCTCTTTGCCCCGTGGGAGACCACGGATTGCTTTGAAGGCTTCTAATAAAATGTCAAGCCCTTCGCTGTCTGTGCCTCTCATCTGTCCTTGGCAGCCATAGGGGCGGCCCTGCCCTATGATTTGGGTTGGAGCAGAGTGGGCACTCCCATGCTTAGAACCACGGGCGGGGAGAGATGCTTGCCAGTGGCCTCCTGGACACAGGGAGAGAATGGGCGAACGAGAAGTGGGGAAGCAGGGCAGGAGGTACGGAGGGGCCTGCAGAGCTGTTGGCATGGTCACCATGCACATGACTTGGGTGGCTGCCACCACCTTTCACTGGTTCCTGGGGTGGGGGTGGGGGTAGCACAACTACAGGTTGTTTGCTCTGTCCACTGAGAGGAAACTGAGGGCTACAAGTGGATTTCCCAGTGCAGCAGACAGAGGCTTGGCCCGCCAAACCTAAGAAAGTGTTTTCCCAGGCTTCTGCTTTCTTCAGCACTAACTAATCCATAGGGGCCCTCCCTCCCACAGCTGACTGACTGGGGTCAGGGCTGATCCAGGCCACACAGGCCATGAACCGGGTAGGAATGGTCCTTTGCCTCAGAAAGGGCATCTGCTTTAAGGCAAGCTACAGTAGGTTGGTCACGTACTCAGGACCCTAAAACGGCAGCTTCCAGGTGCCCCAAGGACAAAATCCAATGGAGCAAGTAATGGGAAGTAGCTGGGAGCACCCACCATGTTTTCTGAATGACAAGTCACAGATGTGGGCCCAGCCCTGCCCTTGCTTCTTCCCACTGGGCAATTCTCAATGGACTGCCCCCCCCCATCCATCTACTCTGCCACTGGCCACTTGAGGTCCCTGCTGAGCCCTCAGATGTGTGCACCCACAGAGCACCCACTTCAGTCATTTTGTTTCCCATACCACCACAGCACATCAGTGATCAGGGGCGGAGTCTGTGGCCCTTGTGGGTGTCCTTCTGAATACACCAGGCCAGGCACTCCCCACTGTCTATGGCTGGGCTGCTGGGTCACCTCACTCTCAGGAGCAGCCCCGCAGCCCCGCCACCATGGGGCAGGCTCCTCCATCCGGACCAGCGAGTTCACCCCGCTGACAGGCACATGTGAGTCTGCCTCCTCCCTGAATCCTTCCCACATGTGGCTGAGCCTGTGTGGTCCCTCAGCCCTGAGCTCCAAGATCCTGGCAGGCTGCAGAGCCAGATACTAAGTGATGTGATGGACCTCTGGAGGACACGCTGCCTGCTCTCCAGCAGGGGCTCCCGGTGACTGACCTTGGAGCCCTGCCCCCCAACCCGTATCTTTATTCCACTTGGGCTTCCTGGGTTTCCTTCTTGCAGCCCTCCAAAATCTCTCTTCCAGGACTCCAGGGCCCCCATTCCCCGCAAGCAAGTTGCCATTAAAGTGCCATTCAAGTCTGCCAAACTGCATTCATAAGGCCGCCCCCCCCGCCCAATATCTCCTTTCCCACCACCGAGCACTCCTTGAGGGCACAGGGTGCTCAAAACTCCTCCAATTTACATGGACGTTTTAGCACTGAAAGTCCCCTGCCTGTGGGGAACCAGGAAGGTGGGTCACCCTAGCAGAGACCACGCAGTTTTGCAGGGCCGACCTCTTAGCAGGCAGGAACCAGAGCCAGATGGCCTGGACAGCCCGACAGAAGTTAGGGAAAGAACAACATTCTAGATGTTCAGTACAGATACTCCACTTCTGGTCTCCAGGGCCACCAGTCCAGGACTGCCAGGGAAGGCGGCCGTCGGCGGAGGCGGGCGGGGTCTGTGTTCATTAGCATAATTTATGCACACTTGCGTTTAGTAGTAAATTATATGCGCATATATCTGCATGGCTGATGAGGCCGGCCGGGCACTTTCAAAATGGCGGAGCGTGGAGTGAGAGGCGGCGGGAGCGGCGGGGACAGTCTGGACAAGAGCATCACGCTGCCCCCCGACGAAATCTTCCGCAACCTGGAGAACGCCAAGCGCTTCGCCATCGATATAGGTAGCTACGGACCGGACATCGGAGCTGGCGGCCGGAGCAGCGGGCGCGGGTGGACATCGGGGGCGGCGGGAAGGACGAAGGGCGGGGGCGCGCGCGCAGCGCACACAGCCTCACGGGTCGCCACACAGCCTCATGGGACATGTAGTTTCTGCAGCGCCGGGACCCTGACTGGATCGGGCCATCGTACTTCAGTTCCCAGTAGGCGCCGCGCGGACGGAGCGCGGCATTTTGGGATTCGTAGTCTGGGCGGCGAGGGCTCTAAGGACAGGCAGGAGGGGTGGGTGGCATCGGGGGTTCTAGTCTGTTCACACTCCCCGCGATTTGGGGCTGGCCATGGTCCACGGCACAAGCCGTGGGAGTCCCCGCTTCCCGAGCAGTTGACGTAGACTTGGGGCCAGGGCACCCCAGCCGTGCGCAGAGCCCCCGCATGTTCGGTGGCAATGGGGGCCTACACTGCGTCCTCGGGCCGCCCCCTCTTCTGTGCCTGGGAGCTGCTGGCATCAGGGATCGCCCCGGTGTGCAGATGTAGAGACGAAGGCACAGGAGGAGGCTAGCTCTTTCGGGGTCTTCTGGTTAGTTAAGAGCAGAATCAGGCGGGGCGCATCTCCGCTGCGCTGCCTGGGCCGGGGGGCTTTGCACCCATCTGCTACAGGGGTTTTGCCCACGTGCCTCTTGATGCTAGTGGGGTCAGTGAGGCCTCGCTGACTTGTGAGCATCCTCTTGAATGAATTAGTGTGCGGCTGGCTCCTTCTGGCCTCCTTCGAAAGCCTGGATCGTTAAGAGACAGTTGCAGAGCCTCTTTACTTCTGGGATGTTGAACGTAGTCTGCTCCCGTGCATTTGGGTGCCTCTCCTACCAGAGGAGTAGGGAGTGGATGATCCTACTTTGTTATGGGCTCTAGGTGCGGTGGTAGGTGAGCATACACCCGTGCATGTATTCATTTGAGGAACATGGAAGAGAGCTTGGGGACTGGCTGGGTGTTGAGCTGGAGTGGTGAGCTTGCACCAGAGGGGACTGTCCACAACCAGACCTTTCCAAGGGCCCTGAGGCAGCTGGCCCCAGGCTCCTAAGACCTTCATGGCAGGATTAGTTCTGTGCCTTGTCCTGTGTTCTTACACTCCTTTAGTGGGAAGAAAATTTAATGTAATATGAAAGGCAATTGAAATTGACTGCATAACATCTGGCAGTTGGGAAAACAGGGCTTACCTTGGATAATCTCGTGGATCCCACAGATGGTGAACTGTGGTGGGGGCTGTCCTTGAACTGAAGGTCCTGAGTCCCAGCCTGCTCCCTGGGGCTAGGCCCAGGGCACCTTGACAGAAGGACACTGTAGGGGTAATTTCAGTGTTGTTTCCTCTCTCTGAAAGCTTCCACCAGCCTGGGTCCTGTGTCTGAGCTTAGAAGGACATGATTTTGTTTATGAGGACAAACCTTCTGTTGCTGCAGCTAATGGGAGGTCACAACCTGGGATGGGAGTTCCCAGCCCAGGTATCCACAAGCCAACATGCTGTCAGCAGCATTGTTTAAAAATGGGCTTCTCTTGTTTGCTCTTCCTTCTCCAAGTCTTTGGATCCAGGAAACCTCAGCTGTTCTCCGTTCTTGATGAACCCTTTCATTTCTTGGATGGAGACAGTAATGTCAGCAGTTCTCCGTTCTTGATGAACCCTTTCATTTCTTGGATGGAGACAGTAATGTCAACTGGGTTGATTCACCTCTTTGCAAGACTAGGGTCATTTTGTTAATCAAAATATACTGGGGAGGTAGATCAGTTGGTAGCCTGCTTACCGAACATACATGAAGCCTTGGATTTTAGTCCCCAGCACCACATAAAAACTGGATGTGGTGGTGCATGCCTGTGATACCAACGCTGGGGAGGTGGAGCCAGGTGGATCAAGGTCATCCTTGCCTACATAGTAAACTCAGGGCTAATTTGTGCTACATAAGACCATGTCCAAATAATAGTAATAATCCACTGTACTGGAAGCTTTAATATGACTTTAGGTTTCTGCAGGCTGTGTATGTGTGTGTCCCTACCTCTGCCTTCTAAGTGCTGGGATTAAAGATGTGTGCCACCATGCCCAGCTCCTATAGTACTTTTCAATGAGCCCCTCAAAGTACATCTTCATCTACATGTACAGTGTGCTTTTCAGGAAAACAGTGCATCCTCAGAGGTGAGTCTGACCAAGCATTTAGAATCAGACAAGCCTGGAGACAGGCCAGGATTGGGGGTAGGAAAGAAGGTTCAGGCAGCTTAGGACCATGGCCACATGGTGTCATGGCTCATGATACCTTCACTGAACCAAACATGGGCCTGACCTTGCCCTGACTAAGTAAGGCTGCAGAAGGGTCAGATGTGCTTGGACAGGTCAGGCTGTGAAGTGATTTCATTTTTGCTGGATGGGCAAGCTCTGGCCTGCAGGCACTCTGGTGTTCCTGAAGGTATGTTGAGTATCTGCTCAGACATAGTCCCCTGGTATTTTTCTCACAAAACCAACACTTGGAAATAATGTAGTCTTCTTAGTCCTCTACTAAGAGGTGTGTGTGTATGCCTCACTTTATCTGTCCCCTGAGAAGTTTGGTCTGGTGAAATCACTCGGGGGTGCTGAGCTTTCCATTTTTCCCACGTGTCCTCTGCGGTCCTTTGAATCTGTGATCACAGCTATAGACCTTCCAGTGCCTTTTCTGCCTGCAGGTTGGCTAGGGCTTGTCCTTGGCAGTGCCTTCTCTCACACTGGACAGCTTTCCCTGGAGTATGGCTCAGGCGGACAGCTGAGACACAGTGTCTGATTGTGTGCAGTATGCCAGGAGTGACAGGGCCCTCCCTGTAAGGCTATCCAGAGTCTGGCCCCTTGGAGGCCTCTGACTTCCTTTGGCCGCTGCTGAGGCTTAGGCTGCTCTTTCAGCTTAGAGGATCCTGAAGTCTGGGAGCTGCTGTCTTACCCTGGTCCCTGAAAATCCTACCTGCTGCCCCCATGCATCTCAAAGATCCTCTCTTACCTGCCCCCATTTGTTAAGATGGGAGGTCAAATGTGGTTGGGCCGGTTTATGACTTTGGGTCACTGTCAAGATCGGAGCTTGAGGGACTGGAGAGATGGCTTAGAGGTAAGAGCACTGGCTGCTCTTGTAGAGGACCAGGGTTCGGTTCCCAGCACCTACATAGCAGCTAACAACCATGTGTAACTCCAGTTCCAGGGACCACTGTATACCACAGTTGCCTTACCTACCCTCTGTTCCTCAGCCCTCTATTTATTTTTATTTTTTGTTGTGAGACAGACCCTCTCCCTGCTGGCCTTGAACTTAGTCTGTAGCCCAGGTAAGATTTGAACTTGTGACTCTCCTGCCTCCACCTTTGACTCTGAGTAGCTGGAATTACAGGCCTGCACTACTAGGCCTGGCTCTGAAACTCCCCTGCCCCAATCCCCCCAGAGCGTGTGTCATACATGAGTGGCATATGGAGGTCAGAGGACAGACAGCCTCAGGTGGTGTTCCTCGGCTCCTCTCACCTTCCCTCTCTCACTGGCTGGAGCATCAAGTCAACTAGGCTAGCCATTCAGGCCAGTGAGCCCCAAGAATCGGCCTGCTCCTCCCACCTTGACTTCCTGAGATGGCAGCTTTTTACGTGAGTTCTGGGAATCTGACCCAGCTCCTCATGCTTGCAAAGCAGGCACTGTTATCAACTGAGCTGTCTCCCAAGCCCTTGAAAACTGAGTTTTCTTAAAGAAATAGCAAATAGCCGAGTGCACCTGGAGGCAGGATGGCTCCCATTTCTGCTTGAGGGCTTCATGGGTGTTGAGGGAAAAAAACCTTGAAGTCAAGTTAGTTGAGAGCCAGACTGGAGAGATGGCTCAGCGGTTAAGAGCACTGGCTGTTCTTGCGGAGGACCTGGGTTTGATTCCCAGCACCCACATGGCAGCTAACAGCTGTCTGCAACTACAGTTCCAAGGGATCTGACTCCCTCTTCTGGCTTCTGCAGGTATTGCATGACATGGGTGCACTTATACATGTAGGCAGAATACTTATACATAAAAGTTAAAAACTGAAAAATTGGGGCTGGAGAGATGGATCAGAGGTTAAGAACACTGGTCGTTCTTGCAGAAGACCCAGGTTCAAATCCTAGCACCCACATGGCAGCTAACAACTGTCTGTAACTCCAGTTCCAGGGGATCCGACAGTCTCCTCTGTCCATGGGCATTGCACAACACAGGTGCACTTGACCTGCATGCAGGCAATACATGTATACACATAAAATAAAAATAATAAAATAAAAACTGAAAAAAAAATTAAAAATAATAATAAGCTGCCAGTTGTGGTGCATGCCAGTAGGATATGATAAAGAAGCAGAGGCAGGAGGCTATGAGTTCGAGGCTAGCCTGGGCTACACATTGGGGCTGGAGAGACGGCTCAGCGGTTGAGAGCACTGACTGCTCTTGCAGAGGACCGGGGTTCAATTCCATGGGTGCTCTCACATACATGCAGGCAATACACTCATACACATAAAAATAATAAATATTATTAATAATAAGAAGCTGGGTGTGGTGGCACACACCTTTACTCCCAGCACTATGGAGGCAGAGGCAGATGGATCTCTGTGAGTTCAAGGCCAGCCTGGTCTACATAGCAGGTTCCAGGCCAGCTGGGGCTACAGAGAGACCCTGTCTCAAAAAGACCAAAAATAATAAGGATGATGATGATAATTAGTTAAGCACCTGAGGGGAAGCAAACCCAGTAAAGAGAAGGTGCCTCAGCATGACAGGTCATGTCTGCTCCTCTCTTTAGTGCCTATGGGGATTTTTTTTTTTTTTTGGTCTTTTTGAGATAGGGTCTCCCTGTAGCCCAAGCTGGCCTGGAACTCCCTATGTAGACCAGGCTGGCCTTGAACTCACAGAGCTCTGCCTGCGTCTGCCTCCCAAGTGCTGGGACTAAAGGCGTGTGCCACCACACCCAGCGGGGGTCTTAGGTTCACATAGCAGTAAGCACCTTGTCCACAGACTGCAGTCCTCAAGAAGAATCTGTTTGCTGAAGCACTGGACTGACCCCCCCACCCCACCCCCTGCCTCCCAGAGCTCACTGGAGGAGGACCTTCAGGTCTCCTTTATCCTATTTTGAATTTTGCCTGGTCTGTTCTTGTAGGTGGGTCACTGACCAAGTTGGCGTACTATTCCACGGTACAGCACAAAGTGGCCAAAGTGCGGTCTTTTGACCACCCAGGAAAGGTGAGCCTCACTGAGACAGGCGTCCAGGGCCTGGGTGGAGGCGGGACAGGACAGCTGCCACCCTGCGGCCTTGGACTTGGCTCTGCCACCTTTATTTGCTGTCCCTCTTCTGTTCACATATGTAGACAACACCCTTGCCCTGGAAGTGTCTAGTGTTCATCATCTTCCCTAGCTCACAGTGTAAACCTTCCTGCCCATTGTAGGAATACCTCCCTGCCCCTGCTCCTTGGGAAGTGTCCTTCTCAAGGGTCTCGGGCCTCCAGGCCTTTTCCCTCCAGCCACTGACTCTGCCTTGGCCCAAATGGACATCAAGTCTTCTGCACATCATAGTTGAGCAAATGCCATTAGGGTGGTGGGGTCAGGTATTTAGGGCCCTGTGGTTCCTCACCTCTCAGAGACTCCCCAACTTTCCAGGACACAGAACAAGATCATGAGCCACCCTATGAAATCTCAGTTCAGGAGGAAATCACGGCCCGCCTGCACTTCATCAAGTTTGAGAACAGCTACATGGAAGCCTGCCTGGATTTCATTAGAGACCACCTGGTCAACACTGAGACCAAGGTTATCCAGGCCACAGGGGGTGGGGCCTACAAGTTTAAAGACCTCATCGAGGAGAAGCTTCGTCTGAAGTGAGTGGGGACTCCCCTGTAACACCCGTGGTGTGGTATGGTGTGTGGTGTGGTGTGGTGTGATGTGGTGTGGTGTGAGGACCATCTGTACATCTCATGGTACTGTGTGGGTGCTGCCTTATTGGCAGACCTGTCAGAAGGGAAGCTGGGACTAGGCCATGTAGGAGGCACGTCTACGTGGTGGACCTTGTGAGCACAGGCTGGCTGCTGTGTGCCGGCTCCTGGCAGGGGCATGCAGTTGGTCTCTGAGGCTGGGACTGCTCCATATTGCTGGGTTCCTTCGATTACAGGGTGGACAAAGAGGATGTGATGACCTGCTTGATCAAGGGGTGCAACTTCGTGTTGAAGAATATACCACATGAGGCCTTCATGTACCAGAAAGACTCCGACCCAGAGTTCCGGTTTCAGACAAATCACCCCAACATCTTCCCCTACCTTCTGGTCAACATTGGCTCTGGAGTCTCCATCGTGAAGGTGAGTCTCTGCTCCACAGGACAGTGGGCAGATGACTGGACGCCTGCTGGCCACATGAGTGCTTTGTGTCACAGCCCTCGCTGGACACAGACCTGACACTTCACAGAGCTGTTACGTTGAGCCCACAGAGCCATTGTTGGCATAACACTTGGGTGCCTCCACCAGTGTCAGTGCCACCCAGGGTCTGCTTGGGAGAATGTGGCGACATCTCTTGGGGAGGGGCAGGAACAGCCCTGACCACAGCACCCTGGTAGCCTATGTGACCTGCAGCCTGCAGCCTGACACACCTGCCCCACTTTGACCCAGGTGGAGACAGAGGACCGGTTCGAATGGATTGGTGGAAGCTCCATTGGAGGTGGCACCTTCTGGGGGCTTGGGGCTCTGCTCACCAAGACAAAGGTACCCTGCATGGAGCTTGTGTTCCCAGGCCTCTGTTCTGACTCTAGTGACAGGGTCTTAGGTCCCCCCCGACCAAGCTGTTTGTACTCCAAAGGATGGATATTCTGAGCTGCCAGAGCTCTGCCAGTTCAGTGGTCTAGCGTCCAGCTTGCTAGTCCCTCCCCTGGTCCCACATGCTGAGGGAGGGCCACTCACTTCTGACCTGACTGGCTCCCCTTTGGAACTTGGTGTCTAGGGTTGTGAGGATCTCCTAGCTGCTGGGGACCTCACTGCCCTGCCCTGCCCTGCTTGGTCCCCACAGAAGTTCGATGAACTGCTACAGCTGGCCTCCAAAGGCCGGCATGCCAACGTGGACATGCTGGTGCAGGATGTCTATGGTGGGGCTCACCAGACCCTGGGACTGAGCGGCAATCTCATTGCAAGCAGCTTCGGGAAGTCAGCCACTGCCGACAGAGGTACCTGCCAGGATCTGCCCCTTACAGAGGGTGTCATAGTGACCCAGGCATGGCCAGCCTTAGTGCCCAGGCCCTACTCTGCCCATCAGTGTGGACAGGTCTCGGGTGCCCCCTGAAGTTGTTCTTGATGTACCTAGGACCCACCCTCACTGCAGCCTGCTCAGGCTTATTAGAATTAACCAGATAATTTCCACGGACTTTGTTTCTGAGAAAATGCAAATTAGGAGAATCAGTTCGGATATTTTTTCATCTTGTAAACAGCCTAAGTCTCCGCCACACTCCATAGCCCACACTCCCCAGCTGTCTGTCACTTGGTGACACTGGCCTCACACTCAGGTCTCTGTTTTCCTTTCCCTCTCCAGAGTTCTCCAAAGAAGACATGGCCAAGAGCCTGCTACACATGATCAGCAACGACATTGGGCAGCTCGCCTGTCTCTACGCCAAGCTCCACGGCTTAGACAGGGTCTACTTTGGGGGCTTCTTCATCCGGGGCCACCCTGTGACCATGCGCACCATCACCTACAGCATTAACTTCTTCTCCAAGGTGACTGCGGTCCATCTCCTGTCCCCAGGCACTTCTGTGGGCTCAGCTCATCCCAGGGGTTCCGACATACCCCTTAATATCTCCAGAAACATGCCAGCTAGAACTCATTCTATACCAAAGGGGTGCCATGTGTGAGGTTCTAGGACAGGGTACCATAACAGTCCCTTGCAGCCAGGCACCCCAGAAGGGCAAGTCTCTATAAGGCCCTATGACCCCCCCACCCAGACCTTCCTGTCATCTCAACCTTCCTCCTGCCTAGCTTGGCATTCCGTGCATCGACTATGAGCTTCTTACCATGAAGGGCAATCGGACTGTCCAGTGACATGAGCCTTATACGGGTCTGGGGTGTCTGGGTCTGCCCAGAGCTACAGATTGGCATGTGGCATTGGGTGGTCTGTGCTCCAGGGAGCCTGGCACAGTTGGGCTTCCTTCTGGTTCCTCAGCCAGCAGTCCACCCCCTGGCACATAGGTGCCGTCTGTTGGCAGGGGATCAGGCAGCCTTTCAGAGGTTGGTGCACTGGCGTGGTTGGTCCAGAGCAGTACTGACTAGACACTTGACCAGTTACCTGTGGGCTCGGCCGGGACAGGGTGAAGTCCAGGCGCTGTTCCTGAGACACGAAGGCTACCTGGGAGCCATCGGGGCGTTTTTAAAAGGCGCCGAGCAAGACAGTGAGTAGAGGGTCCCTGCACTGAGCAGCGGCAGGCCATGCAGGGAGTGGCCTTGTGCCCCTGGTTGGGGCATCTGGTGGCAGGGTGGGGGTGGAGTGTGGGGCATGGGACGAGGAAGCTACAGAAAGGGGGTGATCCCTCAGTGTTTATTAGACAAATGATTTTATCCCTTTTCCTCCTCTACTTTCCCCTTCGAATCAAGGGCGAGGCTGACACGGTGACCAGCTTCTCGTTTTTCCAGATCCTAACCAGTACAGCTGGGGTGAGAACTACGCGGGCAGCTCCGGGCTGATGAGCACGTCGCCCGAGCTGTACCCGACACAGCGGGCGAGAAGCGGCACAGTGAGTAGCAGGCCCTGTGGGAGCAGCCTGCCCAGCCTTCTGCAGGGGCCTCTCACCACAGACTGGTTTCATGTGGATGGAGAGTTGGACTTGAGGTCAGGAGGCAGCAAGACATCGAGGCTGCATTTGGGAGCCTGGGAGTGCCCTGAAGCCCCCATGCACAGAACGCTGGCTGGGAAGGCTGTGGCAGTATGGGTGGCCTTACAGCAGAAACAGAGAGTAGACCGAAGTCCCAGAAGCACCCAAAGGCCTTCGTTCCGAGCCAGCTGCCAATAGTTTGATGTCATTTGGGAAGTCTGCTCTCCCCAGAAGGTTCTAGACCCATTCCTGAAGTCCCCATGTGGGATGAGGTCCACTATGACTGTGCTTTGGACTTACCCGGCCTGAGGTGGGCTGAGCATTATAGAGCTGGTAGGTGAGGGGACACTAGCATGTTCCCAGTTAGAGCTCTCTCTGGGGTCGCCTGCCAGGCACAGGCAGACCACATGTCCATTGTGGCAGAGTTGCCATTTTACCAGCTGTTTGGCCATCTGATGGTGTGTCCCAGTTGGCACAGAGCTTTTATAACTCAGAAACTGCACATCTGGAGAAGAGCAGTTGGCGTAATGATTAGAGGCAAGAGGCCAGTGACCATCCTCAGGACAAGGTTGTCAGCACTGTAGTGGAAAACATCCTTTCACTGTGGGTGCAGCATCCATTGGTATGAGCCCAGGCCTTCACAGTAGCACTGGCCAAGGCAGACCTCTGGAGAGTGGCTCTATGTGTGCCACATCCCCCCACACACCGCCTGCCCAACTTGCCCACTGTACACTTGTCTGTCTGTAGACCAGGTCAGGCCCAGCTAGAAATGGGCTAACCCTCTTCCTACCTCGGTTTCTGGTTGAATGGCTGCTCTAATGCCTGCTGCATGGATTCTAAAAGGAGGGAGACAAGCTGTCCTCTCCTTACCGAAGGGTGGCTTGTGCTCCCTCAGGACAGCATGGTAGGGTGGCACGTATGGAGCTCTGTTCACACCTGGCATCTCAGGACCTGCATCACCTCTGCCAGGAAGACCAACAGAGACCTTAGTGATGAGATGTGCCGAGTAGGAAAGCTGGTAATGGGTTAACTAGTGGTAAGAGGCCTTCCTGTACAGAGAGCAGTGGGGCTGGGTGCTGGCGGTAGTTAGAACTAGTGGTGAATGCAGGACACCTCATGGCTCTCTTGTCAGTTTGAAAATTGCCTGAGCCTTTTTGCTGACCTTGCCACGCAGACATGTTCCCAAGTTTTACAGTCATTTGTTCCCTATGGCCCTCTCTGTCCAAGCAATCATTGTTACCCAGAGTTCACAGCAAGTCATGGCAGCTGAAATGCTCCTGACTGAGAAGGTCTCAGGTCCAGGGCTGTGACTTGGCTGATAGTCAGTTGAGGCCAGAGAGAGGCAGCCTTGGAGCAGAGGTAACTCTTGGGCTCTGCTGTGTCCCTTGATAGTTCCTCCGGGCAACTGCTCGGCATAGACAGCACACGGCTCACCTCAGCCATGTGCACACACTGATTTAGCTCCTTCCAACTTAAAATAAAAAGTGTCAGTGGGGTGAGCAATGGTTCCAGAAACACTCATGGGCTTGGCACCTGTGGCTAATGGGGTGTGTGTGCTTGCTGAAGTGGCTTGTCTTCTGCGGGTGCAGCTCAGGGCCAGCATACGAGGAAGAGCCTGTAGCAAGTGCTTCATAGACAGAGCACGTCAGCTGTGGACGGGAGGATGGGGCAGTGGCCAGAGGATGTGCCAGCTGGAAGAGGTCTCCCGGAGCTCACAGTTGAGCCAAGACTGAGGGTCAAAGGGCTGTTGGACACTTGGCACTGCCAGTCTTCAGCACTGAGCAGCAGGAACAGGGCCTATTGAAGACCAGAGATGCAGCTGGGGATGTGAGGGTTGGGTGTGAAAGGAAATAGCATGAGCTGAGCTCAGGAGCCACACATTGCTATAGAAGTGAGGGTGACCCAAGGGGTGGTGATGCAGGGAGAGGGTTACAGCAGATCTGAAGCCTATAGGAGGAGGAAGTCCAAGAAGTCCGGCCAGTGGCTTCAGAAAGGCCCAGAGACACAGAGGGTGGGAGTTCTTCCATTCTAGTTGGAAACCAGAGCAGGGTGCACCATCTTCTGACTGTGACGTGTCTGCTGCCTCTTTGTTCTCCCAGTTTGACCTGCTAGAGATGGACCGGCTAGAGAGGCCCCTGGTCAACCTGCCTCTCCTTCTGGACCCGTCCTCCTATGTGCCCGACACAGTAGACCTCACTGATGACGCCTTGGCCCGCCAGTACTGGCTCACGTGCTTCGAGGAGGCCCTGGATGGGGTGAGGTCAAGACACAGAAGCCCTCTGTGGTTTGGCCTTTTGGCCTTTTGACCTTTTTTATTTTGTAAGGTCTTACTCCATAGCACAGGCTGTACTGAAACTCACTATGTAGCCCAACCTGGCCTCAAACTCATGGTCCTCCTACCTCTGTGCTTTGTGCTAGGGTTACAGGGGTATGCCACCAAGCCAGGCCCCTGTTCTGCTTTTATGATGCATGTGGCTTTATGGGACCCTTACCGTGCGTTTTTTCATTACTGTATCAAGGCTAGTGTCCTTAAAAGCTGAAACACTAAGTCAGGAGGGCTGTCACCATGGCTGCCACAGCACAGTGGTTCTAGCTGTGGGAATGTGCTCCACACAGCTGAGCCAAGCTCCACCAGACCCTGCCTACCCTCAGGCTGTGGTTGCCTGTAGGGACCTGCCCAGGGCAGGGCAGGGCTCATCCAACCCTCCCTGCTGTTGGCAGGTGGTGAAACGGGCTGTGGCCAGCCAGCCAGAATCCACAGACGCAGCCGAGAGGGCAGAGAAGTTCCGGCAGAAGTACTGGAGCAAGCTGCAGACGTTGCGGCACCAGCCCTTGTGAGTGCCGTGACCCAGACCAGTCCCTGCCTATGGGTTGAGGAAGGGGTTCCACATTGGTGTGGGGACCCTGTATGGCCTGGTGGGAAGAAAGTCCAGATGGTCTGATCTCCGGGCCATTCTTGGGACTGTATACAGGGTCTCACTGGCCTCTCCTGAACTCTGTGAGGCCTGTCTTCTCAGCCACACTCCGTCCTGGTTCTATCCCCAGTGCTTATGGGACACTGACTGTGCGCAGCCTGTTGGACACAAGAGAACACTGTCTGAACGAGTTCAACTTCCCAGACCCATACTCCAAGGTAAGCCCTTCAGGGGACCGGCAAGTACAGTGCAGAGGGATAGGCAGCATCCTGTCCTGCCCAGACCTACAGAGGCCTGGTGGCAACTCTGAGCCCACACTGTCTGCTTCTCAGTGGACAACTCTACTCAGGAACTGCAGTGCAGCCACAGTGGCCCCATGGGGGACCAAGTGACCAACTGGACCAGTAAGAATATGGGCACGCAGGGACACAGACACAAGGGTCTAGGTAGGCATACCAAGAGGCGTAGCAGCCTGCTCTAGATTTGGCAAGAAGGGGGAGGGTACTGGCCCCACACAAGGAGAGCCAGACTCCTGTGTCAGTGCTCTGCAGACCCTCTGGCTGTGGGCTGTGGGCTGTGGGCTGTGGGCTGTGGGCTCTTTCTGTCCTGCTGTTAAGGGCCAGCATCTTGCCCCTTCCTCACCTAACTAGCTCTAGAGACAGAAAGGTCAGGGGTGATGAGGTCAGGTCAGTGGCACCTGTCGGGGCATATCCTTTACCCTCCTGACCCTGTTCAATATTGGAGACCAAATGAGGACTACTCCGAACCAGATGAGTAAGCTGGTATACCCGGTGAGCCCACCCTGAGTATGGCACCATGGCACTGTGGAAGAGTGTGATCTGACTGCCCCTTCCCCTTAGTGGTGGTGGTGGGCAGCACCATCTTCAGCAAGTCCCCCTGCTTTCCTGCCCTGCAGAGACCTAGAGGCTGCATGGAGTCCGGGGTGAGCTCCAGCCTCCGGGGTGAGCACCGTTCACACAGATTTGCCACTCATGTCTGTCTCCCCCATACACAGGTGAAGCAGAAAGAAAACGGCCTTGCACTGAAGTGCTTTCAAGGTGTGACACGCTCCCTGGACTCACTCGAATGGGAAGAGCGGCAGCTGGCCCTGGTGAAGGGGCTTCTGGCCGGGAATGTCTTTGACTGGGGCGCCAAGGCCGTGTCCGAGTAGGTGTCCAGGGCCTGCACACCTGGCCCCTTTTCTCTCCCTCTAAGGTGGCTTAGAACCAGTGTGTTCTGTGGCTGAAGTGTGCCATCCTGCCATCTGGCTGTCCAGACGCAACACAACCTGGGCTGGCCCTACTTTGACGGGCTGAGAGAGAGTCCGTGGTCACAGGCCCTATGCTGCTGGGTTTTCTGGGCAGGCACATCGTAGCAAAGTGAATTTGAGTGTTAGGGCTGACATTTGCAGGGTTAAAATTCAGGTTCATGGTTACCATGGACAGCAGGGATTGACCATTGACAGTACCTAGTGTCTTGCATAATAAAGGTGCTTTGCAAAAGCATTAGCACCTGCTGAACATGGGATGACTGTTTCTGAGAATCAACAAGGGTCTTCTCCCAGGGCGACTGCCAAGTAAACCTTTTCCAGGGTAATTGGTCCTAGGCCTGCCCCTCATTGGGTGACAGCACTATGTAACAGGTCCCTCAGGGCTTCAGTGTGGAAGGCGGGAAAACTCTAGCTCCCCCTAGTGTCGCACAAGTCTCCTTGACTGGTGTGGGTTCACAGACATTGAAGAGGTCGGCCACCCCTTTGAGAAGCAGACCCCAGTGTGTGGTGCGATGCTGCCCACGGCTGCCAGCCACAGAGCTGTCCTCTGCTCTGAGCCTGTCCGAGCTCTTCACTCAAGCTTGAGAAGCTTGCCCGTCTACAGCGGGCTCTGCTTTAAGCTGTAGTGCCGCTGCCAGTCCGGATCAGCACGTTTGTGTAGCTGGGAGACAGTTCGCTGCGTTCATGAGGGCTGGAAGTTTGGTGTATCTTTTTAACTTTCTCTTCTCTGCAGTGTCCTTGAATCGGACCCCCAGTTTGGGTTTGAAGAAGCAAAGAAGAAGTTACAAGGTATGGACACCAGCGGTGCTGGGTTCCTGGTGGGGGTCGCCGGTGTCGGGGTTGGCTCTGCAGGAGAGGCTGGGCAGCAGGTCAGGGGTAGGGTGTGCTCCGCCTGGTGCTGCTCAGCTGTGAGCTCAGGGAGCAGGAGCGCCCACCCCTTGTAAGACACGCTATAAGGCTCTGCTCGACTCCCCTGACTGGAGTTCCTGTCTCCTCACAGAGCGGCCCTGGCTTGTGGATTCCTACAGCAAGTGGCTCCAGAGGTTAAAGGTACGTGAGGTGCCTCTGCCTCTGGCCCTGGGGGATGGAACATAGGGTTTGGACCCAGCCCGGGAGGGTGGCCACCAAAGGCAGTGGGCCGTTATGAGGGGGCCCAGGAGCCTGGAACCCAGGTATAGCTACAGCCCACCTCTTAGGGCTCACAAGCCCCGGATAAGAATCTAATGTCAGAAGTCCCCATTCCTAGGCTGAGGTACAACCTATTGAAAGAACTGCGTGGTGTGCATGAGGCCCTGGGTTCCATTCCCTGCACCACAGGAAAAAAGCACCCCCACTCCCTGCCTGACATCCTGCCAACCACTAGTTTGATCACCTGGTCTTGAGACAAACATCCGTGGGGATTGCCATGCTGGAGGAAGTAGGCACAGGTTCCCGTAGATGCCCCTGTCACCAGTGCCTGCCGTCCTCTGAGACCCCGTGCCTGGACCCAGCCCCTGTGGGGGGCGTGGAGTGGGGTGTGAAGAGCTTGGCTGCACCTGTTCCCAACGGAACGTCCTGGTTTTGTCTTACAGGGGCCCCCTCATAAATGTGCCTTAATTTTCGCAGATAACAGTGGAGTAGACGTCATTTTGGGAGTCTTCCCCTTTGTCAGGGAGCTACTCTTTAGAGGGACGGAGGTGAGTGAAGGGCTGTGTGGGTGGGACCCTTTCCCTGGGCTTCTCCACTCTTGGCGGGGTTGGCGCTGCCATGGGCTCCTGGCAGATCAGAGCGCCTACATTTGTGGCAGGTAGGTATGGGCCAGGCCAGGGAACACCCAGACCTGTTGGGTGTGGACAGTAGCTCGGGCCTGGCTCTCTGCTTGTTTCCTGGAAAGGCATTTACCAGGGACTTGGGAACGGATGAGAGGCTATCCTGACCCAGGAGGTGACGGGATGGAATAGTGTGCTCTGAGTGCAGCCCTGCCACCCTTTGAAGCCACAGAGCCGAGATTGCTTGGGGTCCTGCTGCCCAGCAATTGGCTGCTGTGTGGAACCTGCCAGGGACAGCCATAGTGAGCTGTGACCATGTGGGCAACAGCCGGGGGTCTAAGAGCTGCTGCCTCCCTGCAGGTTATCCTGGCGTGCAACTCGGGCCCCGCCCTGAACGATGTGACCTACAGTGAGTCCCTCATCGTGGCGGAGCGCATCGCAGCCATGGACCCCATCATTCAGTAGGTGCTGGCTGCCCATGCTGAGTCAGGTGGGAGGTGGGCTTAGGTGGTAGGAGATGTGCAAAGAAGGGTTCCTTCCCAGGAGGCCCTCCTAGGCTCTGACCCCCCTAGTTTTCCACAGCTCAGCACTCCAAGAAGAGAGGCTGCTGCTGGTACAGACGGGCTCCAGCTCTCCTTGCCTTGATCTCAGGTAACTCGGCTTTCCTTCCTCCCTCTCTGCCCTGACCACAGACCTGAGTGGCCACTTGTCTGTTGCCCTCCCTTAGGGCAGATGAGCAACTGACCGAGGCCCCAGACCTTGGGACAAGCCCCTGTGGTGACCGGTTCTGCTGTGTCACACCCGTCAGCAGTTACCCTCAGTACTTTCTCTCTTTCTTTGCAAATTTATTTGTTGTGTGTGATGCTTACAGATGCCATGGTGCATGTGTGGAGGTCAGAGGACAACTTGCAGGAGTTGGTTCTCTCCTTCCTCCATGAGGGTTTCAGGGCTCAAATGTAAGTCATCAGACTTGGCCGCAAGTGCCTTTACCTGCTGAGCCATCTTGCTGGCCCCTTCAGTTTTTTTCTGCTAAGAGTTGCACTGTACTTTGCAGAGGTGTCAGTAATCCAGGAGGGAGTCAGGGGAGACCAGGAGAGACTTGAAATGGAGCTCCCTGGCCAATGGAGAGGTGGCCACTGCTGGGGAGGGCAGGCTTGGGTGGACATGCCTCAGTACCGAAGACGACTAGGGTGTTCCCCATGTACTTGCTGGCCACCACCTCCAAAGGAGCAGGGTTGGCGTCCACCTAGGTGTCCTCGCCAAGTCTCACTGCTGCCTTCCTCCCTGAAGCCGCTTGGACAAGGGGCTGGCCGTGCTGGTGCGGGAGCGCAGTGCAGACCTGGTAGTCATCGAGGGAATGGGTCGTGCCATCCACACCAATTACCACGCGTTGCTGTGCTGCGAGAGCCTCAAGCTGGCGGTGGTCAAGAATGCCTGGCTGGCTGAGCGGCTGGGCGGCCGGTTGTTCAGTGTCATCTTCAAGTATGAGGTTCCCACCAAGTGAGGCAGCCACTCTTCAGACCCATCTGCCCATCCCCCGTCAGGAATGTGATTTTACTGCAACGAAGAACCCGTGTTCACACCAGAGTATTTATAATGTGCTTCTGTGACTGACGGCGTGTGCACCTGGGCCAGCCAACCCAGCATCTGTTGTACGTGACACTTGTGTTGGGATGTATTTAACTGTTAAATAATCTTTTATATATATATACGTATATATATATAAATATATAAATACATACTCACTCGTCTGGTGGGACACAGTGCCTGGCACAGCAGATCACCCAGAGGCCAGATCTGCTTTGATTGTGCTGCTGGGAGGGTGGAGCATATCTCACCTGACCCCACATCACCTCTTGAACCTCTGAGCACCAGGCACTTCTGGTCCTTTCCCATCCTGACCTAGGGTCTCAGTGTTTCACATTCCCACCTCCCTGACCCAGAAGGAACAACACCGGCTTCAAGAGCCTGTTGAGAGGAAGCTGCATTGGAGGACCCTTGAGGACTCTTGGAGGAGCCGGGCAGAGCCCAGCAGCCTGTGTAGGTTTTGGCATGGTGGTTCTTGAGATGAGACCAGTCCTCAGGGCTCGACACCTCAGAGTGCTGTGAGATGCCAAGGTGCTCAAGGCCCCTTTGTTCTTCCTCCCAGAAGTAGGCATGTGACCATGTTCAGTCATGCACTGAGGGCTTGTGGTAGAGCCATGCTGGTGGGGCACAGGGTGGGGCTCCTACTCACTGGACAGGTGGGAGTCCTGAGCTGTAGTTCCAGTGGTGTGGGGGGGGGGGGGGGGGGGGCAACGACTGGGACAACCAGCTCTACTGCGTCCCCCGAAGTGGAAAGATACAAGGGTCAGACCAGCTGGTGCAACCAGCTCCTGCCTTTCATGGTGGTGGCTGCTCTGTCTTTCTCTAGTTGTCCCCTAAAACTGCCAGCAACCTGGGTAAAGCTATATGATGGGGCCTACAACTAGGGCCGGAGTCTTCCAGACTGCCCTCTCCCCTTTTCCCTGCCTGGGGGCCAGAGTTTGCTGCCCACCAGTGCTCAGTACCCATCTCTGGCCCTGCCTAGTATTTCTGTGGCCTGTCCTTTGGGGTTCCTTCCTGATTTGTGTGCTGGTATACCTCCCCCTCCCCCCAATCCCAGCCAGTATATGGTGGCTGTGCACTAACCCCAAAGCCACAGCTTTTCTGACAGAACCCAAGGCCCAGCCCTCTTGCAGATAGTCTCTAGAGGGCAGCAGGTACCACACCTGTCACATCCTGGGGCTGGACCTGCGGTGGGCAGTCTCCGAGTCCAGGCCCACCTTCCCCACTGCTTCCAACTCAGCCGGAGAGACAGACAGTCACGTTTGTACCCCTAGCTTAAGCTGGCTACAGGTCCGCCCTGAGGGTCATGATGGCTCCGGGTCTCTGCTCCAGCTGGACCCTCAGGAGGAGGGGAGAGAGGGCTCTCAGCACAGGTTGTAGAGTGCCTAGCACACCTTCCTGAGGACTTGCCAGTGTTCCTGCTTCAGCTACCTTTCCCATGGGGAAGGACTCAACCTATAGCCAAGTACTCTTCACATCCCACAAGCACCCCCAGCCTGTGACCTCCATCCCTTTCCCAGCCAGAGCAGAAAATCTCCCATTCCTGGAGCCACAGGCCTCAGCACTGTGGACTGGCCTGGGATGCTATCGCTGCCTTGGGCTCCTGCAGCCCTGCTCTGCATATGGACCCCATCCTACTGTAAGACCTTGGTCACCAACCTAGTGCAGTGGTTCCTCAGGCTAAGCCCTCTCCGTGGCCTCAGGTTGTCAGTTCACCCTCCACCCACCTCTGTTCAGGCTACCGTACTCCCTTGAAAAGGTACCAAAGGTTAAGGAAGCAAGAGGTCCAGCCAGGCTCATCCAGAGGGTCCACAGGATACAATACCAGCAGGCACCCACCCTGGCCTTCCCAAGTGTAAACAGCCGGCACTGGCCCTGCTTATGGTGGGGGGACATGACAGCAGTGTAATCTTCCCCAGAGGCCCCCCGCTGACACCCCAGCCTCTGCCCTGTGCCCACCATCCAAGGGTCCCTATCCCAGAGGAATGCTTTCCCTGGTGGGGTCAGGCGGAGTTGCCTCAGTCAACAGCAGGTTGGATGGTCCCGGGAGAAGCCAAGCTGATGGTGCCAGGCCTCCCTGGGCCCCAGAGTGGGTCTCACTGGCCCCTACTGGTGGAAGATGGGCAGCCGCAGCCCCGGCACAGCCCTGTGGCCTGGCTAGCACCAGTTTTCAGGGAAGGAACAGGCCTGCAACCACTTGCTGGGAGGGTGCAGGAACACAACACCCCACAGTCTTTGGGGGGGCTGGAGCATGCGCCCTTGTGAAGTGGACTACCTAGGCTCACTCTGGACCTCGGTCCTCTCTGCCCTCTAGGGATGGACCTGGGGCGGCAGCAGGAAGTGGCCCGGAAGGATGAGGGAGTAGGTGAGTCCACACAGAGCAGGCCTGATGGGTTTATTAGTGTTCCCGAGTTACAGTCACTGGGTGGTTTGTTTGGAACAAGCCAGATGCACAATGGAGTGGGGGACAGAGACAAACCTCCCAGCAGGTGTGGGCAGGTCACAGGCATTCTGGGCTACAGGTGCACAGCAGGTGGGGGAACACGCAGCACACATTGCAGGGCCAGACATCAGAGAGAACAGTGGGAAAGGGCTCTGAATCATTCTAATGATGTGTATGTTTTGCTTCTAAAAAGTTAAATATCTCTATGTATATATCTTAAAATGTGGAAACTGCCCAACAGGACAGGTGGACAGGGCTATCTGTCCATCTCTCCCCAGGAGCAGGGACGAGGACGGCCAAGGCTGAGGGGGAGGCTACTGGGTGCTCCAGACAATGGGTGGGGCACAGCAGCTTTGCGGACCCAGTGGCTCCATTTCCTGAGCAAAAGGTGGGCCGAGGCTGCTCCTTTGAGCAGCCACAGGGAATGTGGCCAGCTCATCGCATTGGGTGGGGTCGGAACCTGAGCAGCTGCCGGCCATCAGCACCACACACCTGCTCAGGGGCTCCCTTGGAGGGTGCTGGCACATCCACACATCCTTCGTGGCCCACAGAACAGGTACCCTCAGGGATGCCCCGCTCCTCTTCCGGGGGACCCCTGGGATCCAGGCCCCGCAGCCGCTGCTGCCGTTCCTGAGCCTGGCGAGCCCGGCTGGCAATGGCGCGCACTCGGCTCTGGCTGCGGGAGGAGGAGCGCCTCAGGAAACTGGGGCCCCCCACAGCCCCATCCCCTGCCGGACCTAGGCTGGTGGGTGATGTGATGTCCCCGGCCTGTTGGAAGCCGGTGAGCCAGCGAAGCTGCTCTGTCAGGGCATCCCGCTGCGACCCTGGCCCCAGCCCCTGCTGCACTGCACCCAGGGGACCCAGGCCACACCTCAGGCTGCCGGAGCTGCCCTCAAAGCTGGGGGCAAAGTCATCGGCTGTTAGGTCCCCCAGGCTCTTGGACTTGGCAGACACTGGACAGTCCTGCAGGCCCACCAAGGTGAGGCGGTGCCAGGGTGGCCTGGAGTGGAGGCTGGGCAGTCTTGGAGCCAGAGGCCGGGGCCGAAGCTCATCAGATGTGGGAGGCAGCCCACCTGCTGCCCGTAGGTTGGGGTTCGATTTGCTCTTGGTCACAGGAGGCAGGTCAGGGGGGGCAGCTGAGGTCGAGCAGGGCCGTGGGTGCAGGCGTCCAAGAGAGACCCCAGCTAGGCTCTCGCGGCTTCGGCCAAGGCCCAGGCTGGGCAAGGAGAGGTCGATGACAGTGTCACTGGATGACATGCTGGAGGACGAGGACACACTGTCACGGTGGCTGCCAGGCTCCAACCGTTGCCATAACCTGTCACCGCCTGTGGCATCTGAGTATACTGCAGGGGTTGGGGAGGGCCCAGCCAGGGGCCGCCATGTACCCAAATGCTCTGAAGGCACCTGGCCCTCGCTCTTGGCCCTTCTGACCACTGGCAGGTGGCCCAGGGCCCGGGAGTGGCCCTTGCTGTCCATCTGGCTGCCAGACGTCCCCCCATGTGACCCACTGGGGATCCCACCATTGTGGGGCTTTGGGGGTGGGTCTTCATTGTCCCTGTGGCCCCCAATCCTGGGCTGGAGGGGTCCAAAAGCTCCCAAAGATGTCCTCTGAGGGATGGTCACTTTGGCTCCAGGTTCAGCAGGGCACTGAGGCCTTTCCCAAGAGGGACCTGTGGGGACGGCTGCCTGAGGTGGGAGGCCAGGGCCCAGGGCCGGCTCCTCAGCAATGGGTTCCAGACTGCACAGGGGGGAGATGGGCCGCTGCAAGGGGAAGAGGCGGGTATCTGGGGG